CTGTTGTTCAATCCCCTCCCCTTGAATGTGGGCTTCTGCAAATTGCTTGAGAAACTTGCTTCCCACGAATAGAATACTACTAAAGTGATAGAATGTCACCAATCAGATTAAGTTATAAAAAGACTGTCTTCCCTCTTGCCCCTCCCCCTTGATCAACCTGATAGAAGCCAGATGTGGTGAGGTGTCCTACAGAGGCCCATGTGACAAGAACGGAGGGTGGCCTCCAGCCAACGGCCAGTCCAATAACCTGCTAACACCCACATGAACGAACTGAGAGATAGATTTCCACCCTCCAGCCTTGAGATGACAGGAGCCACAGCCACCACCTGAACTACTAAATTATCGGAGGCCCGAAGGGAAAACCCAGTAAAGCTGTGCCTACAAACCCGACCCGCAGAAACCATGAGATAACAAATGTCTGCTGTTTTAAGCTGCTAAGTTTGGGGGTGCAGCAATAAGTAACTAATTAATTCATCATCCTAATTACAACAATGAAGCATAGTACAGGTAGATTTAGATCCGTCCTTAAAAGGATGGATTTCAAAAGAAACAACTTATCCCATCAAAAAGGTTTTCATTTCCATTGCTAATAAAATGGGCTTTTTAAAAAAATCAAGTTATCTGGAGGAAAACATAATGAATTTACAGAGCTACATACAGCATTTGATACAAATGCAAGTCAATTTTTAATTTCAAAGAGTTTTTAAGCAATTTATCAATAGTTTATTTAGACCCTACTATAAACCAACTGGATGTCATGATAAATATACGATATTATAATCCCTAGGAGCCTGTTAAGATGAAAGAAGAATAGATACTTAAGACAAAAACAACACTGTTTTTACAATAAAATCAAAATATACAAGGGCCAACCCACCAAATGCCATTGAGCATTCTTCGGCAAACAGACCAATTCAATAAGGGGTGTACTGACTCAATAAAAATGTAAAGTTTAAGCACTGAGTGTTTAATAGAAAATAAAATTAAGAGGACATATCATTGATATTTGGTAATTCTAGCTTTCAAAATAGAAAATTAGTCTACTGTTTTCCCTTAATATAAGCCATAGGGGCTCAGTGGGTTCAGCATGCAACTCTTGATCTCAAGGACTTAGGTTCAAGCCCCCACTGGGTATAGAGATTACTTAAAAATAATATCTTAAAATATATATATATATATATATATATATATATATATATATGGGTGCTTGGACGTCACAGTCAGTTAAGCATCTGACTCTTGGTTTCAGCTCAGGTTACAAGCTCAGGGTCCTAGGATCCAACCCCAAGCAGGGCTCCATGTTCAACGGGGAGTCTACTTGAGGATTCTCTCTCCCTCTCCCTCTCCCTCTGTACCTCCCCGTTAGCATGCACATGCACTCCTCTCTCTATATATAAAATAAATAAATCTTTCTTAAGAAGTCATAAGTATTTCAGAAAGCTGAATTAGCATTCTTACATTATATTGATAGAGGATTTAAGAATCCATGGGTAACCTTTGTAGTATACCATGACTGTCAACTGCTTATAATAATGCCAGTGCGATTTTCATTAGTGAAAGATTAAAAAAAAAAAAAAGGCATGTACCTTAGTATAGCAACACAGACCATAATCTGGGTCCCATCAAACTTTCCCACCTCTCACCATTCTTGCACTAATTATTATACCAATTATAACTGCTATAACCAATGGGTCGTTGCCAGATCAACTGACTGTGTATCTTTGTCCGTTCTGTATTTACTATATCTTCCTAGAACAGAGTATCTTTCTTTTTTTATCTAACTCCTAATTGCTCCAGAAAACTCTATCATCTCCTTGGAGAAGGGGCCCACCCCACCACTCTACCCATTTCAACTCAATTGCATTAGGCACTGCACTTTTGTGCTCTTCTGTATTCACCTCTGTAAACCTTATGGTAAACTGTGAATAGGTAGGTACCTGACATTCAGGGGTTTATTTTTTTTTTTTATAAATTAATTTTTATTGGTGTTCAATTTACCAACATACAGAATAACACCCAGTGCTCATCCCGTCAAGTGTCCCCCTCCGTGCCCGTCACCCATTCACCCCCACCCCCCGCCCTCCTCCCCTTCCACCACCCCTAGTTCGTTTCCCAGAGTTAGGAGTCTTTATGTTCTGTGTCCATTCAGGGGTTTATAATCTGAAGTTTCGCCATTCACAAGTAAGATTCCCTCCTCTATCCCAAATTTGGTACACTTAGATATTTGCAATTGTAGAGGCATTAATATGAAACGTATATACCACAAGATTGGTACACAAGAGGGAGTCTGTTAGTGAGGGTCCCAACTGGGCACAAAAGAGTCAAAATTTTTAGCAAAACTTGTTTCTTTTTCCTTGTGGCATCAGTGTTTCTCAAGCTTTTTTGACTATGATCCACAGTAATAGGTACTATTTGTATCACAACCTAGGACACACTCATACGTATAAACAAAATGCAAAAAAATCTTGTACAAGATGGATTATTATTATATTGTTTTATGAAACATGGCCCTTAAGAAAATGTAACTTTTTTTTTTTTTTTTCCTGAGAGACAGAGGATAGTAAGTGCAAGTGTGCAGGAGGGGGGACAGAGAGGAAGACAGAATTCCAAGCAGGCTCCACCCACAGTGCAGAGTCCCAGGCCGGGCTTGCTCTCACCTACCCTGAGATCAAGATGTGAGAACAAATTAAGATCCGGAAGCCCAACCGACTGAGCCACCTACATGGCCTGTGAAAAATGTAACTACTAATGTTAGAGATGGGATATGCAGAAGTATTAATACTTAAGACAGACAAACTCTGTGCCAGAAAAAAGCTTTATAAATGTCTTTAACCATATATGTGGTAATAGTAAGGGTCTGACGGGGGTCAGTTAGATCTTTCAGTTGTATCTTAGTTGTACTTCATATGGTAAAACATAAGCTGTTACAATACTAAGGAATTTAGGGATGCAGCAGTTTCAGGATCATCCCTGGAGAGGGTAAGGGTCAATACTGTCTGGTAATTATTTGATAATGATTTGTTTACTTCACAGTGCCTGACTCAAGTAAAGTGCTCAGTAAACATTTGCCATATGGAGGGGGAAGAAAGCTTTATTTCAAGTCGAGGAGATGAAAATTAAAGTAGCAACGAGAAATCACCGTTTACCATCTTATTGAAAAAAAAATACCTAATGCTAGTTGAAAAGGGGGCACTTTCATACATCAATGATGGAGTGTGATTGCCACAGCCTTCCTGGAAAGCTATGTGGAAATATCTATTAAAATTTAAGATGTACACACACTTTGCAGCAATAAACTCACAACTTTCCTACAGAAATAAAAGCAATGTAAGTACCTAAGAATTATTACAGGATGTTTACTAAACATTTTATTAACGGTTAGAAAATGGAAGCAAAATAAATGGCCATCAACTATTAGCACTGACACAGATGCATGCTTATGATAAAAAGAACATAAAGACAGAGAAGGATACATAGATTCTGGAGGTTGAGAGAGGGAGAGAAAATTAGTAGCCCCTTCCCCCATACACACACACAGTGTCAGCAATTAAAACATTCCATACCCTATAGCTAACTAAGCATATATGGGGAAAATATACTCAAAAGAGATGCATGAAAAAAAATAAAAACTTCCAACATATTCTGTAATTAAAAAGTAGTAAAGAGCACTTGGATACCTCAGTCATTTAAACATCTGACTCTTGGTTTCAGCTCAGGTCATGATTTCAGGATCCTGGGAATGAGCCCTGAGTAGGGCTCCCCACTGAGCCAGGAGTATGCTTAGGCTTCCGCTTCTCCTTCTACCTCTGCCTCTCCCCATGCTTGTGCACTTGCGCGCACACTCTCTCTCTCACACATAAATAAACAAATAAAATCTTAAAAAAAAAAAGAATGAAAAATAAGTGATGGATAAAAGAATAGATGGACTGGTCGATTTAGGTTCAAATATAAAAAAAAAGGTGTTTAAAAATATACAGTATTCCTTTTTCCAATAGTTTTTATATCATAATATTTGGCCTCTATACAATGTTCGGTACTTGTTTATCACTTTGCCTACTTAAAACATTCACTTGTTTTCCATGACACCACACTTGGTTTCCCCCGTTTCTTTGGCAGTTCATTCTCAATCTCTGGGAGGCTCTTCTTCGCCGCTGTCCTTCAGGGCCCTGTCCCTCTACTTATTCCAATTCGGTACACCATCATTAGGTGTTTGAATTCACTTCCAAGGCCTCGATTACCATCTACAAGTTGACAGAGGGCTTGTAGATAAGTTCTTCTTGAACTATAAACTTGTCAATCTTTGGGCCTACTGGAAATCTCCACGTGGACAACCCCATTATAACTGTGTAATAACTATAATTATATCCAAAACTAAGCTCGTTTTCTTCCCTCTCAAAACTTCCCCCTCCTTTCGAGATCCCAAGTCAGCATCACCAAAACAGCTGTGAAGCTAGAATATTGGCTTCTCACCGCCCTCGGGGGAGTAAAGGAAATGTACGAGTTCTGGTCTCCATCTCTCCAGAGAACAGGCGTTGGGGGAAATTAAGAAAACCGAAGCCGCACAGATGCAAAGCACTTTTAAGGCCGCTATGAATCCTATCCACTGTGTGACTTTATCCATGGAGTCTTCCAGCCCACCGCAGGAGTCCAGTTCTTCACCTCCTCGGGTGAATGGACCGCAGGGCGAGCGGGGAGCTCCAGACCCTGGGCACCTGGGCACCGACTCCCCTTAGCTCCGCAGACACCTCAAGGAACGGGGTCGCTCTAGTTCCGTCTGCAGAACACTTCCTCCCTCACTGCACCCTGCAAAACCCAGAAGCAACCTCGAGTGGCCGCTGCAAACCAACACCCACTCCTCCTCTCCCAACCACAGACCTCTACGAAATACCCCAGACCCTTTTCAGCCCGGGCCTGGGTGCACGCGAGACGCCAGGAGAAAGCAGCGGCGCCGGCTCCACATCCTCGCGCTACACGGGCCCGTGCATCCACTTCTGCCTCACCTGAGATCCGGTGCCTGTCTGCAACTCCGCAGCTGCGGCTTTCCAGACGCCTTGTTTCTGGGAGAGGCTAACCCTACCTCCGAGAAAGAGTCGGTAGGAAAGTGCGGCGTAGCAGGACACACAGGGAGCCGCCATGTTGGCCGCCCGAGAGCCAGGCGGGAGGGCGAGGGGGCGGGGCCTCAGGGCTGCGCAGGCGCCGGAGGGAGCTAGGTTCCGGGGGCTGTCGGGAAGGGGCGGGGGCGTGTCCCGCGGTCGGGGCGGCTGGTCGCTGGTTGGGTGTGTGAGTCCGCGGGGCGGGCCCGACTCCGCCCCCTGGTGCTCCGCGGCGCCCCGCTGAAGGTGGTGGGCTGGGCCTCTCGGCCCCTGTCTCCTCCTGCAGGTGCTGAATCCTGTCCTCGTCTAGGTCTTAGTAACGACTCTCGCGTGGGCCTTCCTTCCCTTGCCGGTGCTGCACGTCCAACTGCAGAACCCGCGCCGCCCGCCCGACTCCTGCAGTCTGACTTCGCCCACCCCGAGCGAGGCTGCGCTCCTTGCTCACCGAGGAACGGACTCCAAACCCTGGCTCCTATACGTCTTTCGGCTATGGGTTTCCGCTTCTCTCTGCCTTTGCACGGTTTTCAGGAGCCAGGGTCTGCACCCCCCTCCAGCAACCTTCCCGGCGCTCACATTTCCCTCGCGTTTCAGTGTAACGCACAGGCTACACCACTCACAGGTGAGAATGAAACAGTCTTACCATGTTTGCACGCCTCCTCCCGTGTGTTAGCGCCCAGACTTAGTTGAAACCCGATCAGAGTTAAATGCGCCGTCGAGAGATAGAAACGAGTATAGCTTGGTTTCTGAGTCTTGTGTGCTCTTGAGAGTAACTCCCAAGGTGCTATCTACAAAATCCACTTTAAGTGATGCACTAAGCCGCTCTGAAAGGACTTCCAAACACTTAGAATTGAAGGATAAGTGAAATTAAAACACAAATAAGTTGCCAAGCAAATGAATACACCATCATTTCTTAAAACACATTTAGTCATTAAAAAGGTAGAGATGACATATTCCCCCCCCCAAAAAAAAAAGAAAAGAAAAGAAAAAGGGTTCCTTTAAATGGAATTCATTTCGTTGTACTGAAAAGCTCATTCTGTTGTTCTGTTACTTATCTTTTAGGCTAGTAAAACTTTTCATCAGAGATCGGCATAGGTTCTCGGACCAGCATTTGGGAACCAAAACTTTATAGCCCATTAAAATAGATGCCTTTAGGGGCGCCTGGGTGGCTCAGTTGGTTGGACATTGGCTCACGTCATGATCTCAGGATTTTGGGATGGAGCCCCACATCAGGCTCCTTGCTCAGCGGGGAGCCTGCTTCTCCCTCTCCCTCTGCCTGCCTCTCCCTCTGCATGTGTTTTCTCTTCTGTGTGTCAAATGAATGAATAAAATCTTAAAAAAAAATAAAAGAGATGCCTTTAAAAAGTGGTTCCCATACATTGTCACAAAAATGTTTTAGACTTAATTGTGGAAATTTAAGTGGGAAACAACCAAATAAGTATGTGAAAGTGGGATTTTTACTATTTCTCTAAAAAAATGACATGTTGGAATATATAAGAACTAAGTAAGTTCTGGAATTAAAGTTAGGAATTTTGGAGGTTTTTCTTTTTTCCTTTTCTCTAAAATTCATGTTACAGGCTTTTACTAGATTACAGTAAAACGAGTGTAATATATTTCCTACCTCTAGGGGCAACACTTGGACGGCTGCATGAAATTTCCTGTGTGGACTTTGAGTTTGGAAAAAATATACCATTATAGGTTGGCATTAGGTACATAATCTGAAGTCAGGAGGAAAGACTGGAATCAAGAACGTGCTGATAGACATTTAAAATATGAAAAAAATGTACTTTTACCAAAAAGCCACAGCTTAGACTCATTTTATTTTCCTCTCATTTACTGAGCACCTGTTATGTCAGAGACATCAGGTCTCCTAGGCAGGAGGATCATAAAATCCCCAAAGTCCAATACGGTAGAGTCACATCTAATGTGAGAGTTTGGTTCTAAGGTCAGCCTTTTGGGTAAATATCAGGAGAGCAAAATGTTGAACTAACAACAAGCGCTGCTGAGATGTGAGATAGTGATAACTTCTAGATGCTTCTGGTGGGAGTGTACTAGTATTGCCCTCCTGAAATCAACCAACCAATCAATGCTGTTAAGGGGAGTATGCCCTCCAATCCAGCAGTTACATTCCTAGGTGTATACCCTGCAGAAATTCTTGCACAGCATACCAGACGACTTGTATCTGTCATCAGGGAGACCCCTGAACTCAGGAAACTCCATAGAAGCTTCTGCCAAACTATAAATGTTATCTTTTAGAAACTAACAAATTGGGATCCCTGGGTGGCGCAGCGGTTTGGCGCCTGCCTTTGGCCCCTGCCTTTGGCCCAGGGCGCGATCCTGGAGACCCGGGATCGAATCCCACGTCAGGCTCCTGGTGCATGGAGCCTGCTTCTCCCTCTGCCTGTGTCTCTGCCTCTCTCTCTCACTGTGTGCCTATCATAAATAAATAAAAATTTAAAAAAAAAGAAACTAACAAATTGCTGGAACAAGAAAAGAAATATTTGAATATGACCTCTCAGGACAGACACCTGTGCAAATGAATCATAAAGTGTCTGATAGTTACCTGAGCTTCATTATAATGTTAAAACCCCCATCCTGAAAGGGATATAAGCCTCATTAGCATAACATACAACATACGTAATGGCATGTTTTCTGAGTGGGAATGTGTAATTCTACACCTGTCCATTACATGTGATGATGATGCCTCTCCCTCTGAATATTCATCCCAAACCCTAATAAAAGAAACCTGCTCATTCCTGCTTCGGCAGACATGGCTTTGGAAATTATTCCTGTGATCTCCTTATTTGCTTACAAATCTCAATGGCCTTCTGAAGCAACTCCACCTGGTGTAGTCTCTGTCTAACTCACCAAGGAGCAGACACACATCAGCACACAAACATAAGAATGTTCATAACATTTTTTTAATGACAAAAGTAACCTGCCAATTAGTCAGAGGATGGGTAGACATCAATGACAATGAATGAACCACAATCACACAGTATGGATGGGTTTCACCAGGTAGAGGAAAAAACAGAAAGTCACATAGGCTTGCCAAGTCTGATTCCATTTACATGAAGTTCAAAACCAGGTAAAGTTAAGCAAGATATTGTTTAAGGTTCTATCCCTCTGTAGTAAAACCATAAAGAAAATCAAAAGAGCGATAAACACAAACTTGGGAATAAAGAATAACCCAGGAAAGAGGGAGAGGATGCTGTGAGCAGGACATCAGAGGTGTCAGTGCTCCTGCCAATGTTCTTTGTCTTTAGGTGGCTGGTGGATACAGAGGTGTTCATTTCATCCTTGAAAAATATAGATACATATAACAGGGAAAGTTAATTTCATCTCACTTCCCACCATGACTCACATTGGAAGATGTGGCAGGCTATAGTGGGAGTGTAAATTGATATAGTTTTTATTTCTTTTTTCCTGTATTTCTCATATCCCATTTCCTTACTCCTCTCTCTTTCATTATCTCCTCTTCATCTCCTACCCTCTCTCTTCTCCTTCCCAGTGTAGATGGCTTAAGTGATGAATGATGTAGTTTCCAGAAAATTCACACACACACACACACACACACACACACACACACACACACACCTCTTAAAAGGATTCCTAAACTACAGAACTTTGTGAGGCAACCTTAACCTAGAAAAAGCACAAAGGCTCAATAAGTCCACAGATAACTGAGATCTTCAGAGAACTTTGGTCAAAGATGACCAAATACTCTGTGGCTCTGGGAAGTACACTGAACGTGGATCAAGAAATATGTGTTATCATCTGAACTCGGCCACAAACTCACTCTTTGACATTAATGATTTTGTTTAGCTTATGGAAAACTTACATTTCTCATTAGTGTAACCAAGGGGCAGATTAGAACAGTGATTCTCAAAAGTATGGTCCCCAGAGCAGGAACCTCAGCATTACCTAATTATACTAAGTGTTAAACTGGATTCAATTCAAAAGATGTTGAGGTCCTAATACCTAGTACCTCATAATATGAACTTACTTGGAAATAAGGGTTGTTCCAGAGGTAATCAGGTAAAATAAAAAAAGGTCATTTGAGTGGGCCCTAATCCAATATGACTATTACAGGGAAATTTTGATTTAGAGATAGATGTGTACAGAGGGAAACCAATGTAAATACACAGGAAGATGGGCATCTGTAAGCTGTAAGCCATAGAACAGGTGAGGCTACTGGAAGCACGGAAAGAGATCTGGAACAAATTTTCCCTCACAGGCCTCGGGAGAAACCAGCCCTACTGACACCTTGATCTTGGACTTCCAGACTCTGGAATTGTGAGACAATAAATTTCTGTTGTTTAAGTCACCCAGTTTATGGCACTTCCTTACAGCAGCCCCAAGAATATACCCAGTGTATTCGTTTTTTAAAACATCTACAATTTTTCAGTACTCCTTTTTTTTCTTTTTAAAGATTTTATTTATTTATTTGAGAGAGAAAGAGCATACAAGAGAGAGCATGAGCAGTGGGGAGGGATAGAGGGAAAAGCAGACTCCCAAGTGAGCAGGAAGCCCCATCTAGGGCTCAATCCCAGGACCTTGGAATTATGACCCAAGCTAAAGGCAGATGCTTAACCAATTGAGCCATGCAGGCACTCCGGTACCCCTCCTTTTAAAAGGTAGGTCCCTCCTTTTGAATATGAGCTAGATTTAATGGCTTGTCTCTGAAGAATAGAGTTTGGATATTAGTTACAAAAGCTGGCTTCCTGCTTGCTCTCTCTTTCTTGAAGCACCCACCCTGAGGAACTCAGATGCCCTGAGGTGAGACAGACATACGGAAAGATCTGTCTAGTAAGGAACTAAAGCCTCCTGCTAACAGCAGTGGGAGTGAGCCATCCTAAAAGTGGGTCCTCCAGCCAAGTCTTCACATGATTTCAGCCCTCCAATCAACAGCTTGATTGCCGCTCCAGGAGAGATCCTGAACCAGAGCCATTAATCTCAGACTCCTGGGCCACAGAAATCATGAGATAATAAATGTGTGTTCTTTTAAGCTACTAACATATGACGTAATTTGTTATGCAGCGATAGATGACAAGTATACCTGGGAATTTGTTAGAAATGGAAATTCTT